CCGGTAACGGGATCGCAACCCTCGGTGTTGCACCCGCACCTTGCTCAGCCAGTGAGCGGGAACCGGTCTGTATGTGGGATCTGAACCCTCAGCAGGAGCGTCGCCGCACTCCCAAGCGGCGCACTGTAGCAGTGCGCCACCAGGCCGGCCCGCATTCATATATTTCATTATAAGCACAAGTAATGGCCTCATTTTCAGATACAACACTTTGAGGCCAGCGAATTCCTAGGAGGGTAATACATAGTTGTCCATGACTAAATACAGGCTTCAGAAAGCGTAAAGTAGATTTGCTCAAATGACTGGCCCTAGGATTTGTCTACGGTCATCAAAAGGGCTAAAGAGGATGAAAATGGCTTCTTTTGAACGTGAAAGCACATTTGTATCAGGAGAATTCGAGGCTTGGGTGGTGGGGACAGCAGCCAGGACTCGCCTTGCCCAGCTGAGACCCACAGCTCTTCCCCACTGGTCCTGGTGTGTCTATTATCACATCTGCCATGTCTGTCTACAACCATTTTCTCTTTGTTCCCTGTGCTCCACCCTTCTTCGTCTTGGTAGTTTCATTTCAATCTTCCATTGCATATGATTTCCCTGTTTCACTTCTTCTAGAGTTTCTCAGAGTTTTTATTAGGGTTCATCCATTTTTAAGTTTCTTAAAACTTCTAAGTACTTGATTGGGTAAATAAATGCTCAAAAATGCACTCAGTTATTTAATTAAGTAAAGAAATGCTCAAAACCACATATGTTTACATTAACAAATACATGCATTGTGTTAAAATTAGGACGATCACAAATGTAATAACATTATTACATGTTACAGAAATTCTAAGCTGCACTTTAATTCAAACATTTTAGATTATATCTACTTTTTAGATTACATTTAACCTAAAGTATCTAACCACATACTTAGATTTATGGGTTTTTAAATACATAACTTTTCTAAATTATATAAATAATCCTCAAAAATTTATCTAATTCTTATAAATAGTCACCACATACCTGTCTTCTGGCAGGGTTTTGTTTCTGAAATGTCGAGCATGGTCTGTACTTGCTTTCTGAATGCTTACCTTTTCATTAGCTGAGGTGATGGTATGAAAGTCACAACCAGCTGAACCTTGGGGAAATATACCTCAGGTATTTACACACAGAGACCTCAGAAATCCAAGCCATGACTGGCATTGGGAAAGGAGAAGAGTGTCTTAGTCAGCTTGGGCTGCTGTAACAGAATACCATAGACTGAGTACCTTAAACCTCAAACATTTCTCATAATTCTGGAGGCTGGAAAGTCCAAGATCAAGGTGCTGACAGATTTTGTGTCTGGCAAGGGACTGCTTCCCGGATTGCAGATGACAGCCTTCTTACCATATCCTCACGTGGCAGAGACAGAGAGGGTTCTCGTTGTTTCCTCTTCTTATAAGGGCACTAATGCCATCATGAGGGTCCCACTCTCATGACCTATTCTAAACCTAATTACCTCCCAAAGTCCTCACCTTTGGGGATTAGGGATTCAACACGTGATGGGGGCATGGAAGGGAACACAAGTGTTCATCACATAGCAGTAAGGGACACGGGCAATACTTGCAATACTTGGCAATTGGTGGGTAGGGAAAGGAAATGTGCTAATGTAGCTTCAAAGTCTTAAGCCCCTGTGACCATGAAGCAGTACTGAAATGGCAAACAGGAAGAGGTATATTGGGGAAAAATAATCTCCTGAAAAGCGCCAGCACATTTTCCAAGTGGAAGGTCCAATTGGCAGCTAGAAACATGGGTCTGTATTCCCTACCGGAAGCAGGTGGAGCCATTGATATAGATTTGAGAGCTGTACTCTTAGGCAGAAGTTAAGGTTATGCGATGGCCAGTGAGTGAGAGTGAATGAGGAGAAGAGAAACAGATGGCAGGTCACTGGGGGAAGCCACTTGAGGGTCCAGAAGCAGAGATCAGGATCAACAAAGGACACTAGGAAGGCATGTGTAAGAGGTCAAATAATGGCCCCCAAAGATTTCAGCTCCAAATCCCCAAAACCTGTAACTGTTAACTTATACAGCAAAAGACTTTGCAGATGTAATTGATTTATGGATCTTGAGATTAGGAGATTATCCTGGATTATCCATTGGGGTGGGGGAGGCTAAACGGGATCATATGTATCCTTACAAGAGGGAGGCAAAAGAGAGATTTGACACACACAGAAGAAGACAAGGCAACGTGACCATGGAGGCAGAGATTGGAAGGATGTGGCCACAAATCAAGGAATGCTGGCAGCCATCAGAAGCTGAAAGAGGCAAGAGACGGATTTTCCCTTAAAGCCTCCAAGGGAGCATAGCCTTGGTTTTAGCCACTGAAACCTAATTTGGACTTCTGACCTCCAGAGCTGTAAAAGAATTCATATGTGTTATTTTAAGGCACTAAGTTCATGGCCATTTGTTACAGCAGCCATACAAAACTAATAGAGTGTGCTCACAGAACTAGATTAGAGGAGAAACAGAAGAGTACAGTGGTGTTCCAGAAACCACAGGGAAAGACAGCTTGAGAGGAAGATGTAGCCAATGGAAAGGCATCTTATTTTATAAAACTAGTACTACAAGCAAATACTAAAAAAATTTAAATAGCACAGAAAGGTATAAAGTTAAATTTAAAGGCCTCCTCCACCCTTACTTCCTGCCCTGGTCCTTGGTCTGCTCTCCAGAGGCAACCTAAAAATTTTAGCATATACCACCCGAAAGAATTTTACAACTCGGCAAGTGTATCTATATATATAATCCCCTCTTGATGGGCTTTCAGATTCTTTCCAGGTTTCTGCTATTAAAAACAATGTTGTAGTAAGCATCTAGGAACATATGTCTTGAAATATTTTGGCTGATATCCACGTGTAGTTTCCTAACAATAGAATTACTGGGTCAAAAGATAAATGCAATTAGAGCTGCAATAGATATTGTCCAAATGGCCTGTAAATGAGTCTTACTAATTTTTACTCTCTTTACTAATGTATGATTACACCTGTTTCCCCACATCCTCAGCAACATTGAGCTTTGTCAAACCATTTAATTTTTGCCAGTCTGATAAATGAAAAATTACATCTCCCTGTGATTTAAGTTTCTTTATTTATGAGGGATGTTATGAATTGTGTAATATGTGTGCTATTCATCTGCATTTCTTTTTCTGTGAATTGCCTGTTTTCAAGCAACATTTAAATATTTGTTGAAAATTGGGGTGCATTCAAATGAACAAATTCTACACACAATAACATGGATGAATCTCACAAATGTCACGTGGAGCAAAAGGAGCCAGACACAAATGAGCATGCACAGTAAGATTTCTGGATGTAAAGTTCAAAGACCAGGCAAAACTCATTTGGCATTTTAAATAGGATCATGGTTACCCCTGGCAAAAGAGAAGTGACTAGGAAGCGGGGACTAGAAAGGGGGTCTTGGGATATCAGACTAGGAAGTATTTGCAGGGGTTGGTAATATTTTGTTTCTTGTCCTGGTTGCTGGTTAAATGGCTGTGTTCACTTTGTGAGAATTCATTGAATTGTTTCGTTATGATTTGTATACTTCTGTGTGTTATACTCCATTAAAAAAAAATGTCTTGGGATATCAGACTAGGAAGTATTTGCAGGGGTTGGTAATATTTTGTTTCTTGTCCTGGCTGCTGGTTAAATGGCTGTGTTCACTTTGTGAGAATTCATTGAATTGTTTCGTTATGATTTGTATACTTCTGTGTGTTATACTCCATTAAAAAAAAATGTTTTTTTAAGTATTCTTGAATGCTTAGAATGTGTCAGACACCGTGGGTGAGTCAGACAAGGCTACTGTTCTCATGGACTTAAATTCTAGAATGAGATAAACATATCAAATGCTTGGCACAGTATCTAGCACACACAAAAAAGCACCCAGTAAGCATTAGCTAGTAGGATTCGTTGTAGAGAGGGGAGAAACGGAACAATGCGTGCAGAGCTCCAGCTCCCCAACTTCCAGCTTCCAGCCTGAAAACACACCTGCTCATATCAGGCGGCAGGCCTGATTGCAAGGGGGTTCTATTGTGGTTCCATTTGGGTGCACTGGGAAGTGTTCCTGGGGCCCCTCACCCCTTGACTGGGCTCTTTCATACATTTCATCACTGTTTGGCTTAAGGGCTCAGGGAAGATTGGCTTCCAGGTACTAAGTCCTTGCTCCACCAAGCCACTATCCAGTCCTGCAGAGTAACTCTTGCTTGCTAGGTCTGGAAGGGACATCAGAATCCTGTCCCTCATTTTCTGTCTGAGCAATAGAGGCCAGACCAGTCATCCTGATCAGAAAGCAAGCAAGCAGGGAAATGGGGACTAGATGCCAGCCCTCAGGGACCCTCCCCGCCTCCGTTCTCTCCCATCCCCTCTGTTCAGCTCTAGAAAGTCTATTCTGCAGAGAAGGGGGTTAGGGACAACAATTTAGTGGGGGATAGGGAGACTGAAGCTGCTTTTGCATATAACTTTTTATTTGAAATTGAAGAAACATCAGGCTTCTGCATCAAAGAATGAGGTGCTAAAGGAGAATCCAGGATGGGATAGCACTAAATCCCTCCCAAACTGTCCTTCTGCTTCCCACCCTGAAGGCAGCCAGAACCTCTTTTCATTACTAAAGAGCCCTAGGTCTTCCCTGAGCTGCAGAAGGGAAAAAACCTTTGTCCTCAATTTAAGTATTTGACGGGCACAAGGCCTACCTTTAGTGAGAGAAGCAGAAGCTAACCAGGCACCTGAAAACGATCAATCACGAACATGACCCAGGTGCTTCCTTTCTCTCCTGTAGTGACAAAGTGATCACTAGAGTGCTTGCTTGCTTTTTTAACTTGGGTCCCATGTTCCCCCTCGGCTCCAGTGCCCTACTCAAGGTTGGGGGTGGGGGGAGGTGACAAAAGCGTTCCCCCTCCTCAGAGGCCCCGTGCCAGTGGGCTGGGCGGGAGGTTGCAGGAGAGGGGAAGAGAGGGCCGACTTGCTGCCAGGGCTTTGATGCTGTCCTCGCTCTTTTCAGGGCAGGTCCAGAAGCAAGCAGGAGATGAAAGCTGCGCCGCTGCCGAGGCGTTGACAGCGCCTGAGGATGCTGGGAAGCCCGCTGTCAGCCCCCCAGCAAGTCAGAGCCACGGGAGCCAGCACAGGCACTTTCTACCTTCGTTACCCCAGTTACCTTGTGAGGAAGAAGAAATAAGCAGGCTTGGAAGGGAAATAATTAAACTGACAAAGGAACAGGCAGCTGCAGAACTGGAAGGGGTCAGAAGAGAGAGTCCCATGGCAGGTCAGAGGAGGGAGACAGGGCCGTCCCCGCCATACCTGGCCTCCAAGGGACAGCTCCCCAAGCGTTGCCCGGACTCCTTTGAGTCCAGCCAGCCAGAAGCTTCCACACTGGAAGATGGTGAAGGGATCCCAGGGCAGGGAGGCCCAAGGAGTGCTGTGAAGACCTGAAGGAGAGAGGGATCTGACATGGTGACANAGAAGAGAGAGTCCCATGGCAGGTCAGAGGAGGGAGACAGGGCCGTCCCCGCCATACCTGGCCTCCAAGGGACAGCTCCCCAAGCGTTGCCCGGACTCCTTTGAGTCCAGCCAGCCAGAAGCTTCCACACTGGAAGATGGTGAAGGGATCCCAGGGCAGGGAGGCCCAAGGAGTGCTGTGAAGACCTGAAGGGGAGAGGGATCTGACATGGTGACACTTTGAAGGCACCAGGGACAGCAAGGAAAGAGCGACATGTCAGGACAGTGCACCCAAGTGTTTTATTCTCCTAAAACACCTCCACTTCTGCAAGGGAGAAAACACTCAGATCCTGTTACAAACTGTGAATATTCTGATGATGCCAGTGCAGTCTGATTTATTAAACACGGGTCCTCAAGCTTCTCAGTGTCATCTTGTTCTGCCGAAGATGTGCTGCTGTGAACGCGGCCAGGCACGGGAATCGTGTCTGCCATATGGCTGGGTTTAAGCATGCATCTTTCTGTCAGCATTTGTTTTATTAGAGATAAGATGTTTTTCTATTAGCATTTAATGTTGTCGATCAAAATTATGGGAAACGGATGGGTTTTTTATCAGGTCCTCATTTGGTAATGGCTAGGTGGCTAAAGAGAAAGGTGTAATTGAGCGTAATGTGTCCAGAGGGCCCGCGGCTGCACTCCATCACAGCAGGGCCCAGCAGGACCTTCCTGCATGGGTGTTCTTGGCATCCTGCCTGCAGCACTGTCTGTCATGGTGCCGACTGGCAGGTGGAAAGGGACTTAAGCAGGCTGAGAAGGTTGGCTTGTGGTTTGAAATCCACAGCCCCTGTTGAGGCCTGTCTGCTGACTGCTGGAGCTGTGTTTTCCAGGCTGTAAATCTGGAGGATTAATTGATCTGAAGGGATGGGGTGCAGGGGGGCAAGTAAAGGAGGAAGGGGACCCCAGTTGTGTTTGCTTTTCTGTTTCTGAGATGAGAAGTAGAACCTGGAAATGCTGGTTCTCTCCGTCTGATCTGTGCTGCCTATAGGGTTTTATGGCCATTTGGGGTTTGGGATAGATCTAGCTGCTTAGAACCAGTCACATTCCCAGACTGAAACCTCGGACCCTTCCCTCTTTCAATGAAATGTTAAGGTCACCTCATCTGTGCCACCAGGTACTGGGATTTTAAAGACATGTCACAGAGCTCATGGCCCTATAAGGGAAAGAGAGAGGAAAACAAGATAACTTCATTCCAGCATGGTAAGGGGACTATGAGACCAAGTACAAGGTCCAAGGGTGCGACAGGAGGATGTGGTCAGTTCTACCTGGTTCTTTCCTTTGGGATAAAAATTAGCCTTTCTAGGTTGCATCTGGTGCTGAGGAAAATTGAAAGGTCATCAAACCATAGACTTTGAGCTGAACTCGGTTCATTGCCCCAGGAAAGCCTGATACCAGATCCCAAAGCTCAAAACACTTCTGAGAACCAGAATCACTCCTGCAGGAAAAGGAGAGGCACCCAGTGTGGTAGAGGTTGAAAATTCATCCTAAAAATCTGATATTTATACCAGGCTGGTGATCCTAGGTGTGGCAACTGCACGTGGGTGGCCTGCCCATGCTAATCTCTGCCAGGCTGCATCTCCACGCTTCACTCGGCTGGAAGAGTGGGGGGAACCCCATCTCATACTGTGTTACCTCGCTGTGCAGGAGAGCAAAAGCACAGACCGGAAGGGCCCAGTCCATTGTCAGATGCACACTGAGAGGGCCTTCAGCTGCTTTGGTCACCCCCACCTAGTGAGATGGGAGCAAGCTAGAGTCAGTTCACTGTTGCTCCTGGTGAGGAGGACGCACCATTGGCCCCTGTCCACCGGGCCCTAATGCCTCATTCATTCCTCTGTGTTCCAGCCTATCCCCCAACCCCCCAAGCCCCTCCCCGCCACCTCCAACTTTCCCTCAGAGGAGGGCGCTTCTGCAGCTGCAGAGCTTGCACAGGCCAGCAGCCACTGAAATAATTTTCCTGCTGGACTTGAGCCTTAACTGTCTGCAAATGTTCAGCACTACTGTGTAGGATGCCAGATCCACCAAAGGAAAACAAAGCCAAATTTAATACAATAATAATAAAAAGAAAAATCTTGCCCTGCAGAAGCTCTGGTTTTGACACTCAGTCAGCTGGGTTCACATCTTCAGGGCCCATTCATCACCTCTGGAAGGCAGGCTTTATAATAAACTCTTAACACTCCATCAAGGTCAGGGGAACTGCAGTGAGTCCCTGAAAGTCTGGGGTTCAGGGTGTTGGGGGCCATAGGGAGTGATAACGTATACTCTATGCATGTAGTCAGTCTGGGAGGGTCTTGTGTTATTAGATGGAATGGGAGCCAATGAATTGATCTGGTCACACGTAACCATGAAAACATCTCATACACATATATAATGCTATTCCACCTCAGCCATCCCTACCCAACATGGTTCTTCCATTCCATAGACATTAAAGAGTGTTTCAGCAATTATTTATTGTTGTCTTTTGTTTTTCTAAGGGTCATTGTGAAAGCATGAAGCATTCTCTCCCCTACTCCACCAGATAACCCTACATCTGGCATGCTACTCTCAGCTCCAAGTCACACTTGCAGAAACTTAAACGATAAGGAGATGAATTCTATCACAGAATGAGAACTTCAGGAGTAGGGTATTCCAGGGCTGGCTCATTCAAGAAAGACATCAAAGATCTGGGTTTCCACCTTCCTGTTCGCCTGTCTCTGTGTCAGCTGCTCTCATGATAACAGGATGGCTGCAGCAGCTCCAGGCATCACCACTTCTCACAGGTGTCCAAAGGCAGAAGCAAACATACGTATGTGTGTGTTTTAAAAGCCAGAAACCCAGTTCCTGTCACATTTCATTGTTCAGAATTATCATGTGCCTATGTGACCATGTCACATGCCTATGTCTAAACCAGTTCCTGGCAGGGGGGATGGTATTACCATGGTGGGTTTAGGCTCACCAAGATTCACCCTCTGAATTGGAGAGGGGACCTGTCCCTAGACATGCAGATTCTAAAAGGGTGAATGCAAAACAAAGTCATGTCTTAGGAAATATAGGACAGTTGGGGATAAATTTAAGTAGATTTGAGTAGGCCACCAATGGCATTGTCTCTGAATCTCACATCTTTTTCCTTCTTAAAGAAGCCACAGTACGATGTTACTGATGAGTTTGGAGTTGGGGGCAGGAGATGGATGCCGTCTCATCTCCCCTCCTCCCTGGCTTTATGATCTGTCCTGTTTTGTAGGTGGACGTTCCCACCTTTGTTTGCCTCTTCACCTGTGTTTGTCCTTCATGGTCGTTCTAGCACAGTTGCCAGCAGAATGCAGAATAGTCTGGATAAACGAAACAGAGCTGACAGGTCTCTTAATGAAAGCTTGTTTGCACACTCTGCATTTCTTGTGATCGCTTTGTACCTGAGAGCTTTAGGTGTGGATTTTTACATATGAGTATTTGTCGTCCTTTTAATTAAATCCCGTGGAAATGGATTGGTTTTTGTAAAGCAGGCATTTCTCATTCCAAACTCCTCTTCCCGTGCCTCCTCTGCCCTTCTTCCTCTCCCCTCCCCTTCTGCAGCTCCACAGCTCTTCCCCGAAGCCTCTCTAGCTAGGATCCTCCTGATGGCATTCAGCTCAGTCCCTGCTGAAACCTGTTCCCTAAATTAGTTTTTCCCACATTGCTCCTCTTCTGTGCCCTCACACCACCCTCACAATGCGAAGTTCTAGAAAAGGGCTCTGCTATCAGTTATTCATGTGTCGGAGTGAATTTTTGGATGTGTAATTGCTACTGGGAGTATTTGCACTCCATTTCACTATACGGCATGAAAAGTTCAGTCTCTTCTCTAATTTCAAAGACCTGCTACTTGCTCATTGAGTTTATCTTCCCTGTCTCTTTAAAATTACAGCACGCCTTTGCCCTGCTGGTTTTCTGCGCCTCCAAAAAATGGGGCTCTCTCCCGGCTTCATTGTTTTCTTGTAGCTCTGTGATTGACTCGGCACCCTACTTCTCTTTGAAAAATGTCTCTATTTGAGCACCCTTTCCCTCTGCTTTCATTCTGGAAGCTT